TGACAATACCAAAGCAGCCTGACCTACACACCCCGGCCTGCAAAGAATGAGACCTTCTTGCCCTTTTGGTAGCAGAGGTCAGGAGGGCCAGGTGCAGTGCTTTTCTCTTCCCAGAGCACTGTCCTCGGGGTCCATTGTAATCAAGCTTTCTCAGCTCTCCCTTTGCCCCTTTTGTTTGCAGTGGCATCTGCTGGGAGTCTCTAGCTGACCTCCTGGGTCAAGGACGGTACATCCAGAGAGGCGGTGGGAAGGTGGCACGTCATGGCATGGGTTAGAAGAGGGAAGAAGATGCATTTTATGATTTGCCGATAGACAGGTATTTTTTGGTTTGTTCCTTGTCTCGATTTGATTTCAAAGTACCTGCTTCCCTCCATCCTTTTTGGCCTGCAGTTTTTTAGGGTTTCTTTTATTTTTTTTTTTGAGATGGGGTCTCATTATGTAGTTCAGGCTGGCCTTGAACTCACTATATAGCCCACACTGACCATGAACTTGTGGCAAACCTCCTGCCTCAGCTTCCTGAGTATTGGGATTGCAGCCTTGCGCTACCACGTCATGACAGATTTTTAAAGTTTAAGTAAACTAAGTTAAATGCATTCAATGTATTTTTAGAGGTGTTTATAGTCCTTCTTCAAATAATTGACCCTGGCCGTTTGACTGACCAGGGCTGGAAATTGGTGGCTTAGTTCTTTTTTTTTATTTTTATTTTTATTTTTTTCAGTTTGAAGCCCAAAACCAAGGCCTTTGCACTGAGCTGCATCTCCAACCCTTATTTATTTATTTATTTCCGGTACCGGGAATCGAACTCACGATCTTGCACTTGCCAGGCAGGCGCTGTGCCGCTGAGCTAAATCCCCAGCCCTCCAAACCTTTTATATATTTTTTATTTTGAGGAGGATTTTGTTAAATTGCCCAAGCTGGGCTCAAGCTTGTGACCCTCCTGCCTCAGTCTCCCAGTCGTGGTTTAGTTCTTCAGTGGCTTTCACGGGTCGTTTCTCCAACATCAAGGGCCACGTCCTCCAGTAAGCTTTCCATGTCTGTCTTTCTCATCTGTTCGGGTTGAGAGAGTCTCCAGGGGCCCCTACAAGACCCTTCCCATCCTTCTGCCACTCCGTAGGGCCCTCTGGGGAGGACCCTTCTGCAGAGGGCCCCAGGGTCTTATCCTTTCAGGCTACATACTTTCCTGGAGAGAATGGAAACCCTAGTTTATGGAAGGGATGTTAAATGGGGCTGGTTTACTTTTTTTTTTTTTTTTTTGAGACAGGTTCTCACTATTTCAAACTGATCTTCAGCTCACTTTGTAGCCTAGGCTGATTTTGAACTCGCAACGATCCTCCTGCCTCAGCCTCCCTAGTGCTGGGATTATAGGCGTGTACCACCATGCCTGGCTTCAGGGCTGGTTTATTCTAAAAGAGAAACTTTTAGAAAGAGAAGATGTCACATTCTCTGTCTTTGAAGACCTGAGGGGCTGCCCTGCTGGAAAGGGGAGGGATCTGTGCAGTGCTGCGGGAGCATGAAGGAAGGTGTGGGTTTGAGTAGACTTTGCCACTGGCTGCTGTATAGCACCGGCCAGTGCTTCCTTGGGAAGGGGTGAGCCCCCTGTTCCTGGGGACATGCAAGTACCAATAAAAGGCAACCCATGTCCTGGGGAGTGGGGTCACCCTACTGAACGGCATCTAGGCCTCCTGTCTCCCAACTCTGAGAATCTGTGGCCTGATGATTGCTTGAAACGGGATGCAAGGAGTTGGAAAAGCACTTAAAGAAATTCGCCAACATGAGGACCAAGCTATAAAAAAAATCTTTATTTCATGTACCAGGATTTTTTTTTTTTTGTTTTGTATTTTTGTTTTGTTTTCTGCTTTTTAAAATTTTTTTTCTGTAACAGTCTGAAAAAAAAAATTAAAGGACCCACCGAGAAAATAAAATGGAGGTTGATTTCTTGAACCCGTTGGAGCTAGACACGAGCAATCGTCCACACCGAGGGGCAGTGCCCTAGTCAGCACCACCCCAGCTGCTTCCCTCCTGGCCCCCAGCCCCTTCCCTGCCGCGCCGGTCACCCACGCCCCCATGGTCTTCTTCGAGTGGACTCAGGCCCCGCACCTCCCAAGTGTCAGAACTCTGAGAACAGGCCGGCTTTCCCCGAGGGACAGCAAATTCGTGGGCTGCTTCTAGGGCTTCTCCCTTCTTGCTAGGCCTTGACCTGGTTTGGAATCTGGGGGTGATGATGGGTACAGCTGGTGGTGGTGGGGTAGCTGGTCATTTCTGCCCAGTCTGAGAGATACTTGGTAGCCACCACAGCTTGACCAGTTCCGCCTCTGGGCCCTGGGCTCTGCGGCCTCCCCTGCACATCTGGGCATGCGCTATGGGGCTCCAGCTGCTGCTGACCTGGAGGGACAACTTTCCTCTCCCAGACAAAAGACAGAATGCACGCACTCAACCAGCCGTTCTAGTCACCCGTTGGAGCCCCAGAAAGCTCGACTTAAGAAAGCTCAGGGCAGGCCCGGGTGGACAGTGGGAGAGAGTGGCTGCAGGTGACATGGGCCTCACGGGCTGGGACTGAATCACACACAGGCTGGTGGGAAATTTCTAGCTTGGAATTTTGTTCAGTCGGAACTGGTTCTGATCACTCTGGAGAAGAAAGGGGAGAAACCCAGGGTGCTCCTCGCTGAGTTTAACTTTGGGGAACAGGCGCTCCCTGGGACTATGCACAGCTAAAGCTCTGAGCTGCACAGAGAGGGGCGCAAGCCTTCCTTGAAAACCTTGGAGGATCTTTTTCCTTGACCCCCCCCCCCGCAAAGGCTGTGGGGAGCCCTGGGGACTGATCTCTCGAGGAAGCCTCCTTCATTCTGTGATAGGGCTATGGCATTAAAGAAAGGGGACACAAAATGAAGAGTGGCTTTGGGGACCTCTATGTCTTTGCCCTGCGTGTCTGAATGGCAGGATATGTTAGCTCTGTGTGTGTATTTTTGCTTTGATACTGGATGTGGGGACAGGGCTGGGGAGCACAGTGAGGAGCCATATGGGAGGTGTGTGTGTGTGTGTGTGTGTGTGTGTGTGTGTGTGTATGTGAGAGAGAGAGAGAGAGAGAGAAACAGAGAGAGAGACAGAGAGAGGGAGGCAGACTGGTGATTCGTTTTTTCTTCCCTTTTTTTTTGTTTTGGTACCGGGGATTGAACTCAGGACCTTGCACTTGCCAGGCAGGCACTGTGTCACTGAGCTACCTCCCCGCCCCCAACTGGTGATTTGGCAATGTTCTCAATGTCATTGGAGCTTGGTGGCAGCTGATTTGGTCATCCCTGGCATCTTGCTTTGCGCAGGTGGCAGCTCTTAGAAGTCACAGATACACAGAACAAGACTGGGCCTCCGGGGTGCATCTGTCTGCACACACGGGGGCGGGGGTGAGGGGGAACGTGGAGGCCCAGGGAGGCCCCACAGTAAGGAAGTGCAGAATCCAGGCCTGCACTCTGGCCAGTGCCCTCGCCATGCCCGAGAGCATGGTCAGCGTGCATGTGCCCGTGTATAGTGTGTGTGTGTATAGTAGTGTCATGGGGGGCACACGGGGCCATAAAGGCCAGTGTGGCGTTGTGGTGCTGTGGCTTGTGGCTTTGGAGGGCGGGAGTCAGTTTCTCTGAGCCGGGCACCTGGCAGGGTGTGGGGTGGGAATTGTAGGCTGGTTGTCCCCAGGAGCAGTCTCAGCGCGGGGCTGTGTGGATGGGGTGTGGCTGTGGGTCGGGTGGGCGTGTGCGGCCTCCTCTCCCCCGCGTTAGCAGCACCTCCTGAGTAGAAGGAAACGATTTTTCCAGCAGGCTCCCTGCAGCTGGCTGGGGCCTTCCTCCTTTTCCTCTGGCTTTAAGCCCAGCTCGCATCTCTCCATCTGTTTTGTTTTGTTTTAAATGGATTTGTTTATTTGTTTTCTGTTTTGTCTTTACAAGTTCCCTGCTAAATTTTAAGTCCCCCACCCCACCCTATTTGTTTTGTTTTTCACAGTTTAAAGCTGGAAAAGAATTAAAAGAAAAATACTATCTGATTTTCTTGCAAGTAAATCCACTTATTATATATTTACATTTATGTATAGTCTGTGGTTTTTTTATTAAAAAAAATCACCACTTGTTTTTCCTTTTTCTTTTGTAAAAAGAAACCTTTTTGCAGTGTCATCATTGGACCCTGGGCCCCGAGGGGGCGTCAGTGAGTCCAAGGACCCCCAAAGGGTCAAAGAGCCCCAGTCCCAGGGGACTGAGACCTATGAGTCTGGGGATCCACCATCACCCCAGGGTCATCAGGTGGCCCTGAGGTGAGGGGTGAGGAGGGAGAGCTCCTTTATATCCCCCCTCCCAGGGAGGGGTGGGTATCTCCTGACCCTAAGGACAGGAACTTGGGGATGGTGACCCCAAAAGGCTCACCCTGAGGATTCCGGGGTGTCCGGCATCTCTGTAAGCCCACGGCAGCCATCCCTTCCGCTCCCCTTTCCTCAAGGCCTAGGAAGTCATCACAGTGGGTTAGGACCATTAAGGACTGGGAACCAGGGGCTGGGGAGCCCCAAGTGCACCCCCTCCAGGCACCTAAAGGACAGGAGGGACCAAGACTCAGGCCACTCGGAGGCCTACAGTTGCCCCATCAGTAGTGGGGGGAGCCGGCTCCCGGGGCTCCCTCCCAGGGCTCCCAGGGGCCCCAGGGGCCTGGCAGTGACCATAGGCTCCACCTGGGGCTCCTGTCTCTACCCGCTACCCTCCCAGGAAGGCGGGGCCCACCGGGGTTAAAGGGAACAGAATAGTTAATACTGTTAGTTTTTAAACTTTCCCCACAGTTAAACAAACGAACAAACAAAAAGATAACAGAAAACCCTAATAAAAACAAAGACATCCTCTTCCTTTCCATTCTTTTTCTTTTTTTCTTTTTTTTTTTTGTTTTAATATTATCTTGGTTCCCTTTTATGGTTTTCATTTAAATTGGTTTTTATTAAATGTTAAAATAATGGTACATGGGAAGTCATGCATTTTCTTTTAGATTTATTTTCTATTGTTAATTTTTTAATCCCTTTTGCTTTGTTTTAAAGTTTGTCTTCCTTCGTTTATATTTTTCCACATTGCCTGTGGTCTTACATCTTTGTTCCTCTTATATTTTGCTGTTGTTTTTTTTTTTTTTTTTGTAATTTACTTGTTATGTTTTTCTCTTTTTTTGTTTTTTGTGTTTGTGTGTGTGTGAGTGTGTTTTTTGCTTTGGGAAGGTCTCCCCGCGGGCGGCCCTGTCCCCGCCCATGGGCCGCGCCTCCTCCCGCGCCCCGGGTCCCTCCCGCCGGCCGCGGCCACCACGCCACCAGCCCCTGGGTGGTGTTCATACGGGCGTGGTCCGGCGGTTGGCTGTGTTGGAGTGGAGAGAGTCCTTGTTCTCCTTCTGGATACAGTTGTGGACCTGGAGGAAGCTGTTGTCCCTGTCGGAGTTGTAGGTGGCGGTGGGCGTGGTGGTGGCCTTCAGGGGGTCCCTGCTGAGCGTGTACATGGAGATCTCGGTGGACGGCAGGGTGTTGAAGCCCTTGATGCCCACGGGCGAGGCGTCCCTGGAGTGAGAGGGCTCCGTGGAGCGCGAGCTGGAGCGGCTGCGGCGCTGGTAGCGGTAGCGATAGCTGGGGATGCGGGTGATGGCCGAGGCCTGGAGGTAGTCCGTGGCGCGGGCCGTGGCCCGCAGCTGTTTGTGCCGGTCGATAAACATGTGCACGGCCAGCACCCCGACCATCTCAGCAATGATGAAGGACAGGGCTCCGAAGTAGAAGGACCAGCCATAGGAGTAGCTGTTCTTTTTGGAGTCACTCTTAGAGGGGTCTCCGGCATTGGCAGATATGTACACGATAATGCCAATGATGTTACTCAGACCTGTGGTGGAAGAGCAGAGGAGGGGAGTTGGTTCTCCCGGGATGGTGCCACAGGCAGCGCGAACGGGTGGGGACTGCTGGGTGGACTGCATGGACAGAGGCGCCGGGACAGAGGACCCCTAGAGAGCTCTATTAATATTTTATCAGGCCACACAGAGACAGCCGGGGAGGCCAGGGTAATGGATCCAGACATGGGAAGAGGAGAAGAGAGAGAGGCATTCTACTAGTAACGATACAGTAGCAGATATTGTTTACTGAGCACTTACTATCTGCCTTCCCTGTTCAGTGTTCCTAAGTCCTTTACAGATGGTGACGCAGAAGCGCAGAGAGGTTAAACAAGTTGCTCAAGGAGCACAGGGAGGTGAAGCTGGTACAGGAGGGGTTAAGGCTGACTGCGGAGCCAGACTGCTGAGGTTCAAAGCCACTGACAAGTTCACCTCTGTTGGGGCCCCGCTCTGTAAGCTGGGGATGCTGATGGGCTTGTGGTGAGGGTTAAATGTGTGGATACCAGTGCCTGCTTTTGAGCCTGGGTGTGGCAGGGGACCCTAAGATGCCAGTCAGTTCTCCCCAGTGGCTCATGCTGTAGTTCCTGCTCCTTTTGGGGCATCTGAGGCAAGTGTGACGTGCCGCGTAAATGGGCTCAGGCACCTCACAGAGGGGACGCCTGCTCCCAGCTGGGACAGCGAGGGGGGAGCCTGTGGTTTCCTGTGTGGACTCGGCACTGCGCAAGGGTGGGGGGCAGGGCGGGGCCTCTGACCCCCCTCTCTCCAGCCTCCTTATCCCCTTACTTGTCTTGGGGAGGCAGAGGCTTGAGGGGGCCCCAGCCTGAGCCTCCGCTCACCTTAGGGGCTCCCTTCCCTCGCTGTGGGCTGGAGCCCAGCCCGCCCCGCCTGGTGCGCTGGCTTTACCTGCAGACACGAAGAAGATGCCAGCGCTCAGGATGATGTTGTGACGAGTCTTGTAGAACTCGCTGGCCGCGATGCAGAGGCCGCCCATGAACAGCAGAATCACACTCAGGATCGGGAAGATGCTCGAGGCCCTCACGGCCCCTGCGGAACACGGAGGGGCAGGGAGAGAGGGGCGTGGCCGTGAGATGGGGGGCGGCTGAGGGCAGCCAGCAGGAGCCACCTGCACCCACACAGCGGGGAGTCCAGGTTGCCTAGCAACACCAGGAGGGAGAGAAGGAGGGCAAGCTGCTGCCAGCTCACAGCCCTTCAGGGGTCCCCATGACCTCCAGGACCATTCTAGCACCTCACTAGGCACTCAGGGCTCTGTGTACCTTGGCCTCTGTCTCCCTTGGTCTCACCCTGCCTGGTCCCCATATTCCTTCTTGTCCAGCTTGGTAAAATTCCCAAGCCATGTCATTTCGTGCTGACTGTTACCATACCAAGCTCTCTTACTGGAATGTCTTTTCTATTCTTCTTTACTCAGCAAACTTCTACTCATCCATCAAAACCCAGCTCAAAGTCCTCTCCTCTGTGAAGCCTTCCCTGAGTTCCTTATGCATAGTTATTAGCTCTTTGCTTCATGGTTTGGGGAACTCAGGTGCCTGGAGGAGTGGTGTGTGGTAGTGATCAGGTGGAACTACCTGGCTTGGATTTGATTCTGGCCCTAGCATTTATTCTTGTATCTCTGTGCCTCACTTTCCTCTTCTGTAAAGCAGGGATGATGACAGTGCCAGCCTCCTAAGATTGTTGGGAGGATTAAATGAGTTAAAGCAGATAATAGATTTCTTTAAAAATTCCCAGGGCAATAGATGATACTTATTATAATACATACTTTTTTTTTTTTTGTCTGTTTCTGCCATAAGCCCTAGATCCCATGAGGCAAGCGCTGTGGCTTTTCCTTTTCATATTTTTATTTAATGCAAAGACATAGTAAACCCTCAATGCAAGCTTATCATTAAGAGAGAAGTGGTCAATATAGGGTGGGAAGCTGGGCATGGTGGCACACGCCTGTAATCCCAGCACTCGGGAGGCTGAGGCAGGAGGGTCGTTGTGAGTTCGAGACCAGCCTGGGCTGCAAAGTGAGCTCAAGGCCAGCCTGAACTGCATAGAGAGACCCTGTCTCAAAAAGACAAAAAGAAAAAAAAAAAAAAAGATGTGGTGGGGGGAGAATGGGCGCATTGCAGGGAAAAGAGAAAGTGAAAAGCAAAAAGCCAAAAAGAAAAAAAAAAAAAAAGTAAACACTTCAGTACAAGAAGGAGGGACTGATAACTGGGATAGGAGAGAAAAGAATATTTTATTTATTTATTTTTATTTTTTTGAGACAGGGTCTTGTTAGGTAGCTCAGGCTGGCGTTGAACTCTCTGTGTAACCCAGGCTGACTTTGCCCTTAAAGTAATCCTCTTGCCTCAGCCTCCTGAGAGCATTACGGTCATGTGCCACCACACTTAGTTTATTTTTTTTTCTAGTGCAGAGGACGGAATCTAGGGTCTTGAACATGCAAGGCAAGTGCTCTGTCACTGAGCCACAACCCCAGCTGGCAAAAGGTCATTTTGTTTCACGGTACTAGGGATTGAACCCAGGACTTTTGCACTGAGCAATGCCCCCCTAATTGATTATTTGTCTGTTTCAATTTTGAGACAGAGACTTGCTAAGTTGCTAAATGACCCAGGCTGAACTCTAACTTGTGATCTTCCTGCCTCAGCCTCCCAGGGTCTTAGGATTCCAGGCCCTCAACATCATGCCTGGTTAGAAAAAGAATATTTTAAGGGAAAAGAGGATGGCTAGAGTGTCCGGCTGTACTGTGGGAAGAGGGAAAGCAGAGGGAAGACAGCTGGTGGGCCGAACCAGGTGTGTTTGTGAGACAGCCATCTTGGAATGAGGACCAGAGTTGCAGGCCTCCACCAAGTGTCTCTGAGAGGTAGAAGAGTTTCTTTCTACTCAAATCCACACAGGAAGTGCAGGAGGAGTGCTGGGACCCCTGCTGATTCTCTGTCCCTCCCAGGTAGAGTGGCCGGGCAGGGACAGTTTTGGTAGTTTGTATGACTTTTAAGGAAGCGGCATCCTGCTAGCCACGAGGCCCTTCGGTCACACCCAGCTATTTGTTGGGAGGCAATTTAGGGGCAAAGGAACTAGGAGCAGGGACTCTTCTTAGCCTCTGTGTCCCACCCCTCTTTGGGTGGCAGAATGGCCCAGAAGGATTGGCAAGAAGTCCACTTTGTACTTAGACTTTTCTGAGCAGATTTTAGGTAGCTTTCTGTGACAGAAGTGATGTGAGAATCCTGTCACCACCCCCTATGTCTAGCAGAGTCTATGCTCCTGCTGCTTTTTTTTTTTTTTTGAGACAGGGTCTCGCTGCGTAGTTCAGGCTGCCCTTGAATTTGCTATGTAGCCCACGTAGGCCTCAAACACACATCGGTCCTCCTGCCTCAGCCTCTCAAGTGCTAGGATTACAGGCATGAGCTGCCACGCCCAGCTGCTCCTGCTGATTTGTGAGCGGATGAGGTTTTGGTAGGAGGGGCGTGGAGAAGGGTGGGCTCTACATGCAGCTGGAGCATGCGGCTAAAGCTGGCTGTGGATACTGAAGTCAGAGCAAGAGTAAGGGTGAGGGTGGGTGGGGCGTTTACGCTGCTGTCTGAGCCTCACGGGGACAGGGATGCCCTCTGCTCAGACCCAAGGGGGATGCTCCCTCTCTGCAAGTTACTTAAGACAATGCACTCCAGTGAGGGCTGAGACCCAGCCCAGGTACGTGGCACACACGTGTGCAGGGTACATGCAAGCTGGGCACACACATGCACCACTAACAGTCACCTTAATGCTCACATTTACATGTGTGTGGGAGCGGTGAGATCTTATTGAAGACCCAGGAGAATGGAGAGGATATTTGGCAAGCACCCACCCTCTGTCTGCTTGAGTTCCTTCCGAATGTACCGTTAAACCATTTCATCATCTAACAGCTCTCAGGATGCTTTTTTTTTTTCCCCCCTGATTTAGAGATAATTGAGGTTCAGAGAGGTAAAGAAACATCTCCAAGGCCACCCAGCTAGAGATCCAGGATTTAAATCCAGACTAGCCTCTGTACTCTTCCTGTGTGGCTTCCCAGGAGCCTAGGATGGGTGCTGACAGGTCTCGGGAATTGAATTTGGGTTCCCACTGCGCCGATCACTTGCTGTGCAGGGAAGCCAGGTGCCTCGCCCTCTCTGGTTTCCAAGTGGTTCTGCCCTCTGTATATGGGTCTAGTTTCTGGCCAGCTGGCAGGAAGAAAGCGGGTGCGATGTGACCTTTAAGGGCCGCGGTGGCTGCCGTAGGTGCAGAGGGAGGACTTCCTGCCCTGTGTGCTGCCTGGGGCAGACCCAGCCTCGCTCCCACTCAGCCCATTCAGCTGTGGGAGCTGGAGGCCCAGCCCAGCCTTCCTGCCAGCAGCAGGGATGGGGAGTTGGGGCTGGGGTGCTGTGTGTACACGCATGTGTGCACACACACATGCAGTGAGATGTGTGCGGATGGAGTGGAAGGAGTGGGAGGAGGGGACAGCTGTGTGGCAGGTGGCATGGGACAGTGTGGAGGGAATGGAACTGCTTCAGAAGGCAGGAAACAGCTTCTCATATCCTCTACACGGTGGTGGTGGTGGGGACATGAACACAAGCCTCTGTGGCCAGTGTAGCTGGTTCCAACCCACCCTCTTCTTTTTTATGGTACTGGGGATTGAACACAAGTCTTCACGCTGAGCTACACCCCACCCTTTTTCATTCTGAGACACGGTCTCCCAAAGGCAATAAGTTGCCCAGACAGGGCTCAAATTTGCAATTCTCCTGTCTCAGACTCCCAGAGTGCTAGCGTTACAGGCGTGCAGCTCCAGGCCTGGTCCAGTCTCTCTTGAGAGACGACCCTCTGCCCAGAAAGACGAAGACGGGGGCAGCCTGGCGCAGCACCGTGCCCAGGATGCTGGTTCATGAGAGCCCCATTCCAGGCCAGGAAGGATGCTTGTTAAGAGTAAGTGGCTTTTATTTACCCTTTTAGGTTCTTACACTAGGGAGACAATATGATGTTTACACATGTGGGTCTGATTTATTTCACTTATGAGAATGGTCTGTAGTTGCATCCATTTACCTATGAAAGCCTCGAGTTTATCTTTTTATAGCTAAGTAATACTCCATTGTATAAAAATACCACATTTTTTTATCCATTCCTCAGTTGATGGGCATCTGGGTTGTTTCCAAGATTTAGCTATAACAAATTGTGCTGCTATAAACATGGTTGCACATATATCGCTGTGGTATGATGTTTTTAATTCTTCTGGGAAAATACCCAGAAGGGGAATAGATGGGTTAAGTGGGACTTCCAATCCTAGTTTTGTGAGGAATCTCCACACTGATTTCCACAGTGGTTTCACTGATCTACACTCCCACCAGCAGTGAGGAAGAGTTCCTTTTTCCCCACAGCCTCTCCAGCACTTGTTATTAGTTGATTTCTTAATGATAGCCTAGTATAAGAACCTGAAAGAGTAAGTAAAACCCAAAATGTACAATAGATAATATGAAAGGGAAAAAAATTGCTCAAAGGAAGAAACAACTGGGATGAGGGAAAGAAGAAAAAGAAAGAAGGCAGGCAAAATATATCTACATCTATATATATCTATCATCTATATCTATCTATCTATCTATCTATCTATCTATAGAAGGAGAGCTGGGATAACTGTACTGCTGATGTCTAGTGGTTTATTGAAAAGAACAATTAATGCTTAAATTGTTTAAAATTTTGACCAATTCTGCATGCTTATATCTGGTAATCTGAGCAACTGATTTGAAGACAACAATATGCAATATAACAACCACTGGTGAGTTCCTACCATCTTGTCTAGTGAAACTCTCTATCATCTCTAATGTTTTTTTTTTTTTTTTTTGGTTTTTTCTCCGGTACCGGGAACCGAACTCACGATCTTGCGCTTGCCAGGCAGGCGCTTTTTGCCGCTGAGCTAAATCCCCAGCCCCTCTAATGTTTTTTAATTATTATTGTATAATTCTCTTTAATGGTTTGATCAATTTTGCATTCTTACATCTGGTAATCTGAGCAACTTCAATGAGGATAACAATATGTGATATAACAAC